GGGCCTCTCACTGTTGTGGCCTCTCCCACTGCGGAGCACAGGCTCCGGACGCGCAGGCTCAGCGGCCATGGCTCACGGGCCCAGCCGCTCCGCGGCATGTGGGATCTTCCCGGACCGGGGCACGAACCCACGTCCCCTGCCTCGGCAGGTGGACCCTCAACCACTGCGCCACCAGGGAAGCCCTGTTTACTCTATTTTTCACACTAAGTCTTCAACATCGGCAGATTTGTACACTGGTGGCACATCTCAATTTGGACTAGCTACATTTCAAATGCTCCGTAGCCATATTGGACAGCGCAAGAGTAGACCTGAGCCTGAGTGAACATTTCGGAGCACATTAGAAACTATTTGGGTAGAAACGCAGCTCAGCTCAGAGTATATGCGAGGAGGAGAAGGACACCAGCCCACCTGAGTCCTCTAGCTCTCTCTGGAGAGCAACTGACTGTGTTACTAAAAGATGTGCTTGTCTGCAGCAAGCGTTCTTTTGGACTAAGCTTTTTATTTAATTTCCCCCTGAGCCTCTTATTTTAATATAGCAATCCCCAAATCTACAGAGTTCAGGAATACCAGTATACAAATCATCATTTTATGAAAAAAATGGAACCTCCCCAACCCCCCCACAGACCCAGTGGATGGTCCCTTCCTTTCCCCACAAATCCAACCAATAGGGTTAGATTGACTCCAATGAGTGAACCTGATAACTGAACAGGCCTCCCCATAAAAGATTCTCACTAAGGTGTCACCATAAAGATCCACAAACATACACACCAGTCTACAACCACACAGGCAAGAAAGGCACATGCATGAGATTTACCCCCTACTTATGTTTACAGAGCTCACCAGGACATTGAGGGTATGTTCCTGCTTGAAATTTTCAACAAATTTCCAGACTGTCTTGGGATCAGATAAGTCCACAATGTGCAGAAAGATGTTCTAAACCAGAAAACAAAAAAAAATTGTAAAGCCTTAAAAAAAAAAAAGATAACATGTATTCTTTTCATTAAAAATGGTTTTTTAAAAAAATGGTTTTAAAAATCAAATCGTTTGGAATGATACAAAATGGAAAGTCTCACTCTTCAGAAGTACACCATTGTTCACAGTTTCTTGCAAATCATCCAGAAATATTTTAAGTACATACAATATTTATAAATGTATTTTTCAGGCATTATATATTATACAATTTAAGTATTATGTGTGTGTGTGTGCCCCTTTTCCATATAGATAGAATCAGACTATACATTGTTTAATATCCTTCTTTTTCACTTAACAATATGTTTTAGAGATTTTTTTCTTATATATAAATCTACCTTCTTTTTTTTTTTTAACCAGGTTGTTTTCTTATTGTTGAGTTTCTTTTTTTAAACATCTTTATTGGAGTATAATTGCTTCACAATGGTGTGTTGGTTTCTGCTTTATAACAAAGTTATACATATACATATATCCCCACATCTCTTCCCTCTTGCATCTCCCTCCCACCCTCCCTATCCCACCCCTCTGGGTGGTCACAAAGCACGGAGCTCATCTCCCTGTGCTATGCGGCTGCTTCCCACTAGCTATCTATTTTACATTTGGTAGTGTATATATGTCCATGCCACTCTCTCACTTTGTCCCAGCTTTCCCTTCCCCCTCCCCATTTCCTCAAGTTCATTCTCTAGTAGGTCTGTGTCTTTATTCCCACTTTGCCCCTAGGTTCTTCATGACCATTTTTTTTGTTTGTTTTTTAGATTCCATATATATGTGTTAGCATACGGTATTTGTTTTTCTCTTTCTGACTTACTTCACTCTGTATGACAGACTCTAGGTCCATCCAACTCACTACAAATAACTCAATTTCGTTTCTTTTTATGGCTGAGTAATATTCCATTGTATATATGTGCCACATCTTCTTTATCCATTCATCTGTCGATGGACACTTAGGTTGCTTCCATGTCCTGGCTGTTGTAAATAGAGCTGCAATAAACATGCACTGATCATTTACGTGCATGGCTGTGTGCACCACCGTAAAGGAAAAGGGGGCATTCAGCATGACTCCTCCATCACGGAGTTCTGAGTCTACTGGGGGAGGAGGCCGCGTCCAGAGGTAACCATGTCACAAGGCAGCAACGGACACGCAACGTAAGCAAGGACTGAGTCACAGAAGAAGTTGTCATCTTATAGTTAGGATGTGCCTCCGATAATCTCTTAGGAGCAAAATATTGACAAAAACTCCCAAATGATTGGTAGGAAACGACGACACATCCATGCAAACGTATGTTTTGTGGCCATTACAATGGCCTCCCCCCAGCAGACTCAGAACTCCTTGATGAAGAAGCCACGCTGAATGCCCCCTTTTCCTTTACGGTGGTGCACACAGCCGTGCACGTAAATGATCAATGCATGCTGTCCATTTACCCCTTTTTCTCTGTACTCAGCACATAATTGAAACTTGTGTTCTCAGCATCCAGTGAACGTGAGGCTATTCCCCCTGAGCTCCAGCAGACGTCAGGGACTTGTCACCAACCCAAGGCAGATTCCTGCTGCTGGGAGCTGAACCTACAGGCAAAACTCTGAGCAACAGCTGTAACTCCCTTGATAAAGCAGAGTTCAGGACCCTGTCTCAGTTGCCCCATTAACTGAGCCATTGAACGCAAGTCAGAATTTCTTTCTACTGATTGATCTTAAAACATATTTCCTCACCCTGAGACAAAGGCTCAGAGAATGAGAAGACAGAAGCAGTCCCACATTTTCACGCCTCAGAAGGTCTGTAATCAGCTTGAAGACCATATTTGGCTTAAGTCTGGAACAACTGAATCTTCCTCTGCCTTCAAGGGAGAGGAAAAGCACTGTCCGTACAGGACTATGCTCTTCTGAAAAGTCTCTGAAGGCCCTCACCCAGACAGAGCGGACATGAGGCTGCTGACTCACACCTGGGTCAGCTGTGAGCGTCTACCAGTGACGGCAAAGCAGGTCCACATACCTAATCCTTTCGTTCTGAGTACTTCCCAGCAACCACCCTGGAACTCCCTCCCACCAGCAGGGCTGCGACACTCACACAAAGCCAGGCTCAAAGAAACAACAAAATTCAAGTGAGCCAAAATCAATTTTACTCTGATCATCCCTCAATCTCCTTGAGCTTCCTGGAAGCACCCAAGGCATCGCAGAATTAAAAAGAGGCAGCAGCAGGGAAGAGGGACTCGCCATTATAGACAAATCAACCTTGGAGCCTGGTGAAATGAAGCGTCCTGAAAAGGTGAAGGGAATCATCTGGCTCCCTCTGCAAGAAACCAGGAAGCCCAAAGGCACCCAGAAGGAGAGGCCAGCAGCCTGCTGTGACCAGGGGAAGGAACCAGGCAGGTGCCAGTGTGTAAAACCCTGATCTGCTGATCTACACATGACGAGGCTAGACCTAGGAGACATTGGGGGCCCTATACTCACTTTAAAAAAAAAAAAAATTATATATTTATTTATTTGGTCACACCAGTCTTAGTTGTGGCACGCAGGTTCCTTAGTTATGGCATGTGAACTCTTAGTTGTGGCATGCATGTGGGATCTAGCTCCCTGACCAGGGATCGAACCTGGGCCCCCTGCATTGGGAGTGCAGAGTCCTAACCACTGTGCCACCAGGGAAGTCCTGTACTCACTCTTTAAACCTAAAGAGGATACAAGTCTGGTTATTGAAACTGAGCAAAACTCAACTGGGATACTTCCTATAGGTGAACCACCATCATCTAGCTGCTGGGTGGCCCAGGAGTCATGAGTTGACATCACGGGAAGCCTCTACCCAGGGCAGAGGGTGAGTTTGAAGGGTAAAGGGGAGACAGTACATGAATGTGCCCTTGGAAGTAGAAATCACTATGTAGGAATGAGGTGATAGTTACTATTAATGTCTAGTACTCAGGAAGCTAAACCAGTAATTCTTAAGAAGGTGGAATTCCACGTTGGCCTGGGAGAACTGGAGAGTAGAAACCCCTGTTTTTTATCTTGGTGTTTTGCTGTTGATGGGATCAATCTGCACAAGACAGAAGGCACATTGACAGCACCTTCCAGCCATATCAGGAAGTACAAAGGTTGCACTGTACCTCTGTGATCTTTCTCCGGGAAACCCATCACTCCGTTCTAATCAATGAGAAACACAACCAGCCAATCCCAGTTGAGGGAGAGTATACAAAACCCCTGGCTAGCACTCCTCAAAACTGTCCAGGTCATCAAAAACTAGGAAGGTCTGAGACACTGTCACAGGCACGAGGAGACACGACAACTAAATGTAACGTGGGATCCTGGATGGGATCTGGGAACAGACAAAGGGCGGTAGGTAAAAACTAAGGAAATCTGAATGGACTTTAGTTAGTAATAATGTATCAATATTGGTTCATTTGCTTAACAAATGAATCATACTCATGTAAGACGGACGTTAGCAAAGGGAAAACTGGGTGTGGGGTAAATGGAAAGTCTGCATTATTTTCACAACTTTTCTATGCATCTAAAACTATTCTGAAATTTTAAAGTTTATTTTTTTTAAAATGTTGCCCATGGGGAATTCCCTGGCAGTCCAGTGGTTAGGGCTCTGTGCTTTCACTGCTGGGGCCTGGGTTTGATCCCTGGCTGGGGAACTAAGATCCCACACGCCACTCGGTGTGGCCAAAAAAAAAAAAAAGAGTTGCCCAAGGAGATAACTGCCAGACAAAAGGGTGGTGCCCTTCTATCCAGACAGCGAGATGGTGCTGAACTGCATGTGGCGAGGAGCTGAAGGAGGGTCCACTCTGACTCTCTCCCTGGGCCCATCAGGAACATTGTGCCAGACACAGTGGCTGCTGCACTGGGAGTTTGCTCTGTGACAAGCGCTCCTTCCCCCAAGCCTGGGGCCACACACACCCTCTCCAGAAAGAGCCCCGTGGCAGGATACTGAACTCTCCGTACTCCACACCCCTGATCTTACCAAGCCAGTGCGTCCAAGCAGCTGGTTCCCACGTGACCTTGTCCTTCCCTGGTGCCCAGCCTGCCCACACGCGCCTGGCTCAGCTGGCCTGCCACACACCCCACCCAGGCTCTCCTGCCCAAAGGACCACCGCTCTTTGATGTCCACCCAACTATGCACCCAGGACCAGTCCGCCAGTGCCCTCCCTCCCTGCTTTACCGGCCCAAGCACTAATGAAAGAGAACTAGGGAACTTGAAAAGCAGAGAGTGTAAGGTTGGGAGTGGTAATAATATTAGCATAAACAATGTTGATAACAGCAATAATAGTAATAGCTTCTATGGATCGAGAGCTGTACATACTATGATGCCCTGAACTTCCCATGTCATAGCACTACCATGTTATGTCAGCCAGGGTCTAACAGAAACCACTTTCAACAGAGGGAATTGAACACAGGGATTGGTTTCCCAGAGGAGAAGGGAGATGAGAACTCAGCTGGGACTGGTGAAGAAACCCGGAGACCAGCAGCAGCAGGAAGCGCCCACCAGCCCTAGGCTGCAGGAGCAACGGGAGGGGCTGATGTGACCTGAGCCTGAGAGCAGGCTCACCCCCAGAAGCAGGAACCTCAGCGGAGACTCAGCTGTTACCACGGAGGCCAGATATCCTGTTTCCCCATTCCTCCCGCCCCCTTCCTCCCAATCTTCCTCTAATACCCGCCGCTGGTCAAACGCAGGCACGAGGTGGCTGACGTGGGAGCTGGGGGAACACGTACTTCGGAAGCCACGCCGTCCACACCTCCCCGCCCCACCGTGATACAGAGCCGATCAGGCGGGCCCAGGGAGGGGCACATCCTTTGTTGAAAATGCTTGTTGATCGCTTAATCCTTACAGGACTGAGAGGGGCTGTACTGCCTCTACCATGTCAATCTCCAGCTCCCAGCATGCTGCCTGACACGTTCACACTCAACGAGATGTTCAAAAATGAACAAAGTAGTATCACCCTACTTTTCAGATGAGGAAACTGAGGTTCAGGGAAGCTAAGCACACTGTCCCAGCTCACAAGGCTTCGTGAGCGCAGAACCGGCACTCAGATGGGAGCCCCGCCCCTTCCCATACATCCCTGATGAAGCTGGAAGGAGCAGCCGATCCCGGGGAAGAGCCTGGAGGATGCACGAGTCGGGGAAACCACACCCGCGGGAATGAGCAGACGGGCACCACCGGCCCCGGACCCTCCGAGCGCTCAGTGCTGGCGGCCACTTACAAACACAAAAGAGGAGAGGATTTCCTGTGGGTTTGTGAACGTGAATGGGGGGAGGCCGCAGGTGAAGGGCTCCCTCTCCCCCCGCCCCAGGAAACATGCTTGCTCCCCCTTTCAGCACTACCTCCCAAAGATGGTGCAGCTGGACATAAGGAGGTCTCAACAGCGTAAACAGCATCGTGTCCTCTTTTTCTATATAGATCTACTTTGTAGAAAAACATAGCCCAAACCAAAGCGGGCTGGGATCCAGACAGAGCCTCCCCTGCCCATAGCCTGAGATTAGTATTCCTGTTGCATCCTGCAGCAGCACCACTGAAAGTTATCAGCAGGCAGACAGCCAGCTTTCCATCTCAAGAACTGCAGCCCCCAGATCGCAGCTGCCCTTGCAGACGTCAGAGGAAGATTTAGAGACCCTCGAGCTCTCAGCCAGCCCTAAGCCTCCGGGAGGAATCTGATGGCAAGAGGCTGCGGAGTCTGCGGAAAGTCTCTTGCCTTGAAAACGTTACTTCAAGACGTGGAATAACCTTCATGAGCAGAGGCAAAATAGTCCATTCTAGATTGGGGCATCTGTTTTCCCTTTAGCCACGGCCCAAGCCTGAGGGCGCGGGGCGCTGTCCGCCCCTCGGCTATGGGCAGTTGCTGGAGAAGCAGGTGCACAGGACAGAGGAGGAAACTCCAGGTGGGGCTGGAAGCAACATGCTCTGGAGCGAAGGTGAGGGGCCCGTGGTCACTGCCAGCCAGCCCCCTCCTCTCCACTTGACACTGGGAGTTCAGGGGCCTCCATCGGGGCCGGCTTCCCGGGGTGCCACCTGCACAGGTGCACAGACCCCAAGAGGGCCCCGCTTGTTTTTTATTTCTTAATTCTTTTTTGATCACTCATTCCTTTAGCTATTACTGTGATGATTTTTAAGTCTCCTAGCAATAACACTTCGGACTTTGGAACTGTTAACTTTGTTCTTATTAGAGATTCTACTGTGTTCCTAAGCCAGAGTGCCTTCAAGGGGGAACTTTTGTGTGTGTGTGTGTGGTACGCGGGCCTCTCACTGTTGTGGCCTCTCCCGTTGCGGAGCACAGGCTCCAGACGCGCAGGCTCAGCGGCCATGGCTCACGGGCCCAGCCGCTCCGCGGCATGTGGGATCTTCCCAAACCGGGTCGTGAACTCACGTCCCCTGCAACGGCAGGTGGACTCTCAACCACTGCACCACCAGGGAAGCCCCGGAACTTTTTTTTAAATTACTTTTTATTGGAGTACAGGCCCCGCTTGTGTTAATGCTATGCCTTCGCCGTCCTCCAATTCTTAGGCTTTTAACACCAGGGTCCCACACCTTCGTTTTGCGCTGGGCCCTACAAATTATATAGCCAGTCCTGGTTCCGACTGTCTCAGAAGAGGAAGCCCACAAACCGTGAGCCAGCTCTCGAGAGGAAGTGGCCCTCATCAAGGCCAAAATGTCATCTGTTGTCCCTCTTTCTCCGAAGACCACTGTGTCAGTTTACAGCTTGGCTCACCCTGAGTCACCTCTGATATGTCTCACTGACGTGGCCTCCCTCTGTGGGGGGGGACCCCAGCAGTGCCACGTCCGTATCATGTCTCCCCAGCAGGCGCGGATGACTTCATGGGGCGTGGGATCAAACCTCACTGCCCCCCTTATCCCCAGTCCGGCCCAGACTTTGAAAAGCGGCAGCTCAGAGGAGTGAGGGGGGAGTGGGAGAAATTGGGAGATGGGGACTGACATAGATACACTACTGATACTATACATAAAACAGACAACTCATGAGAACCTACTGTATAAAACAGGGAACTGTACTCAATGCTCTGTGGTGACCAGAATGGGAAGGAAATCTAAAAAAGAGGGGATATATCGGGACTTCCCTGGTGGTCCAGTGCTTAAGACTCCGTGCTCCCAATGCAGGGGGCCCAGGTTTGATCCCTGGTAAGGGAACTAGATCCCGTATGCCGCAACTAAGAGTCCATATGCTGCAATTAAAGATCCCGCGTGCCGCAATGAAGACCCAGCGCAGCCAAATAAATAAATAAATAAATATATATATATATATATATATATATATTTTTTAAGAGTGGATATATGTATATGTATAACTGATTCACTTTGCTGTACAGCAAAAATAAATAGAATAGAATAGAATAAAATAAAATAGGACCTCTGTCCCGAAACACATTGAAAAAAAAAAGAAAAGAAAAGCGCAGCTCCAGCTCTGCTGGCCGAGGCTGCCCCCCAAGCGGAAGCACAAACAGGCCACTGCCAACTCGGGCCGCGTGGCCAGGAGTCCAGCCCCCTGCACTGCGGACCCCGCAGGCAGGAACCCCCAGCAGGAGGGCCACAGAGCAGCTCACCTGGTTCCCGCTCTCCCTGATGATCTCACCTCTGGCACCTTCCGCTCGGTTTTCATCTCGACAAACCAGGTGAACTGTGCCACCTGGTGGAATTCAACAAAACCGTCTGTGAGGGACAGCGACAGTGACAGCTATGGAGACCAGCTTTTCCAAATGCAGGACTAAGACATACGGGCTCACAGAAAGAGTACCTGAAATGGAGACTATTCTGGAAAATCTAGACAGATGGTCCCCACAGTCAGAGCAGCAGATGTAAGAGAGAGGGTGATCTTGGAACCCGTCCTCCTGCCTACCTGAGCTGACTGACGGTGCACCTGGGACAACGTCCTGACTTAAGAGTCTGAATAGATCAAGGATAAGAAGGGTCGGTTTCTGTCATACCGGCATCCCTAACATCTCACAGAGTACCTGACACACAGGTCTCAACCTAGCTGCACTTTGGACCCACCCGGGAAGTTTTTAAAGCTCTAGATGACGGGCCCAGGCCTGCGGATGTTTTAAAAGCTCCCCAGGGAGTCTAGTGTTCAGCCTCATATGCAGCAGGAACTCGATAAATATTTACTGAGTGGCTGAGTCCATAAATGGCTCTCAGACTATTCCAGCAAAAGCCACACCGTCGTCAATCAAGGCCTATTTAAAGGGGACTTACGCTGTCTGCGGCAGTAAAGAAGTAAGCATTATGGAACCTGCCTTCTTCACCTACAATAGCTGCTTTTTAAAATGGGGTCTGTTTAATGGGAAGCTACATGCTGATCACACCACCAGCCCGTCTGCTTTATCCTCGTCCCCACAGCTCTTCAGAGTACCTCCCAGTTGCTAAGATGCAGTTAATCTTCCCCCTGACTTGGCAGATAATTAAATACAACTCCAAATGGTATAATATTCCCCTGAAAAATGCCTAACAATTTTAGAGGAAAAAAAAAAATCTCGAGCATCTTGAAAAGTGATAAATTCCCAACTTATTTCCCCGACTTCTGCCGGAACATCCATTCTTCCTGGAGAAGGGGCTCTGGAGGGGCACGGCAGGCTTTTCTAGCCACCACAGTGCCACTAAGTGACCCAGGGCAGTTGAGCCTATGCAGGAAATTCCGGCATTTACCAGGAGGAAGACTTCAGCTGCCTGAATAATTTACGGGCACCCAGAGAGGCGCTTCCCCAAATCAAGCTTAGGGAGGAGAAAGGGGAGGCTGTCTCCAGCTGCTCGAAACCTGAAGGCTGGACACCAGGAAGGAAGAAGGAAGTTCACTGCACGCCCCTCTCCCGTTATTCTGGGGGCTCTGGTTCTTAACTAGGGTCCACAGGCAAACTGCGAGGGACTCCCAGTATCCTTCCCACCCCCGACCCCGTTGTTGTTGAGAAGACAGGAACTGGAGACCAAGTATGCAGGTGTTTTTTTGCTTTAAGGTTCCACTGGTGATTCAGACGCCTAGGGTTGGCCGGAGCCCCTCACTGTTCTTAATCAGAAAACAATGACACGTGGACAGGACCCCAGCTCTCCTGTGAATTAACCGTGTTGAGAAAAGCCTCCTCCAGTCACTCGCTCTGTCCGCCTCTAGCTTGAAGCTTACCGCACAGCAGCTGTGCCTATCAGCACAGGGTCACTGTTCAGGGCTCCCGGCTGTGCTGGCCGTGGCCTTCCTGACCTCCTATGACACAGGGCACTCTCCCCAGCGTGGAGCGGCCACAGGCTGGCCTCGGGGCCCAGTGCACGCACGAGTTAGCAGGCTGCTCACCTCGCCTGGCGATCTCGAAGGCAGTTGCTTTTCCGATGCCGCTGTTCCCCCCGGTGACCATGAAGGCTCTTCCAGGGACTTGGACGTCCAGGTCATCAGGGATGAAGTCCTTGGATGCAGATTCATAGCCACTCCTGGAAGCAGCAGAGCCACAGAAGGAATGGCCGTGAGTAGCTGGGAACACAATCTCCTGTGGGGAGGAAGCCTAATTCTGCGCTGGGCATCGTGCTCTCTCCGGCACATCACGCAGCCCCTTTCTTCCTGGGCTCCCCCTGCTATCCTCCCTGGTCTCATGAACACCACCATCTCCTCCAGGCCTACATTTCCTATACCGTTAGCTTCCTGAACTGAAAATGCTTGGCGATTCCAACAATTTGGTGGCCAAACTACCTTTCTCTGACTGCCTCTGATACCAGGAGGTGCCCTCCACCCCAAAAAACCCTTTGATAGATAGATCTTTTTTGGGGGGCCTTTTTCCCACAGTGGGGGGAGCAGAGAGGAGCTTAGGAGACCAGGAACATCGTGCCTACTGCAACGCAGGACAGGTGTCTCTACCCAGGTATAGAAGGACCATGGCAAAGTGGGTAGATTTGCACGTAGGGAATGAAGGAGGGGGCAGGTGCGGTTATATGAGGGCTGCACGCCTTCAGAGGAAGCAAGCCTCCTTCAGGGCCACAGGGTGTATGCTGCACAACTCTAGGGGGCGCCCTTCCGATCACACTGATGAGAGATTCGTATCTGCATCAGGACAACTTTCTGCCGGATGACAGCAAAGCACATAGAGAGGGCGGTGCTTCTTCTAATTTGCACAAAGGCATCATATTGGACAGAAACAACCCTGAGTTCCTTAACTGTTTCTCTCTGCTTTTTGAGCTTCCTCTTCTAGCTTTACTGTCCTAGTATTTCCCAGTTACAAAACTGGCTGAGGCGGTAGAGGCAGAGTGTAGGGGGATTGGCAGGAGGAGACCCACAGGGCGGAGCTCTCCCCACACACCAGCAGGCTGGGGTCTCAGCTTGTGTCTCTCACCCAAAGAGCTCATTCCCTGCAATGCAGAAAGCAACTCTTTCCCCCAAAGGTTCTGGAAGAAGCCCAGTGCCCTCCCCGCGCCCTGTTTACACACAGACTGCCAACAGCTGGTCTCCTGCCCCATGCCCTGGCACAGCACAACTGCCAATTACATGCCTGGACGCTGGTGAAGAGGGCCAAAGAATGTTTATGAGCTTGGGTCTGGTTTGCCACAGGGGCGGTCATGGCCCCTGGTCTCACAGTCAAGAGACCAAGGAGAATGTTCCTGTTCTCACCATCTGTGACTCGCCCAAACATCCAGGGAGGCTCAGAGAATGCCCTTCCCATTGCTTCCGCTGTTAGTGGGCCACTTAGCGGGGCAAGCAAGACTTCTGACTGTTCCAAGGCCTCCTGAAAGGCTGACTTGAAACTAAAAATAATATCAATCATAAGGGCTTTGGATCAAGCAACTTGGATTTAAATCACAGCTCTGCCTCTTAACAGTTGTGCCGTCTCATGTGCTGGCTTAACCTTTCTGAGCTCCTGCCTCCTCATCTGCACAAAGGGGATAATAAAAGCTACTTCTTGGGCAGCCTGGGTGAGATGATGTATGTGAGGCATTTATCACACACTTGGAATAAATTAGGAACTCAATAAATAAGAGTTGCTATCATTATTACTAGTATTAATAACGACATGAATACCTTTCACATTCAAAACTAAGCTCATTGCCCTCCCACCCCACCTCCTAGCCCTTCAAATCATTAGGGACTTTGACAGTAATTTAAACTATAAGCAAAGATGAAGCTGGAAGATTTGTTTTTTCCCACAGGTTGGGGTCCCAGGATCACTGTGAAAAGATTTTCTTGCAGAGGAAAGAGGTTTCTCAGAAAGAATCAAGGGCCAGGAAGTCAGTGAATAGGGGCCCAGGCAGGACAAGGCACTGGTGGGGAGTAAAGAAGAGCTTTCCAAACCACCACAGGGCCAGAGAACATGCCCCAAGTAAATGCCCCACAGGGACCCGGCCCCAAGAGCCCCCTCCTCCTGGGGCAGGAAGCTGAGAGGCTTTTCTCTGGGACACACAGCTAGAGTAGACCTTAACCTCTGGGCTACCACATCGATCCTATTAGAGCCTTAGGTTTGCTGAGGACGGCTCCTGTGGATTAAACCTCTTCCTCAAACTCCAGACTGTGAGCCAGTTGCCAAGTGGGCGGTGCCAGGCTGGGCTAAAGGACACGTCATAATTCCCTTTGTCCTTTGCCTTCAACACAGGGATTCCATCCTGATCCAGTCTGTTGTTAATAAGACAACTTAGTTTGTTTTGTGTCCTCCCACCCTCTTTTTTCATCTTTATAAACTCTTGATATCAGTCCTTATTTTTCAGACATAGAGAGACATAAATGACTTACCCAAGGTCATGAGATGGTAGGTAATGAAGCCCAACACCCCAGCCTAGGGCACCTTCTACCTCACGCTCAGAGTGGTCCCCAGACAAGCAGCATCAGCATCACCTGGCAATCTGTCCACGGAGTCAGACACTCCAGGGTGAGGCCGTGCAATCAGTGAGTGGTTTCACATGCCCTCCAGGTGATTTTGATTCGAGCTGAGCAACCACTGTACTTAGTGTTTCCTGAACTCCCTGAATACAGGAATCAAGCTCCCCGGCAGGCTTCCCCCAACTTATCCAATATGGAATTTGCTAAGGTCCCACCCACAGGTGCTAGGAGCTTAGGAGTCAGTTGTTGTAGCTGAACTACCCCCTGGTAATTCTTAGGTTCGGGCAAGTTTAGGAAACTGTAACTAGATCCTGCTGCCTAGGGGCCCAACGTGAGGAAGCTTTATAAAAATCCTGGTGTGCCATGAAAAAACACTGTAAACCCAAACTACAGACTCTCAAGTTGGAATCAAAGCGAGGTGTTGTCTTTCCCTCCAATTCACTAAATACATAATAGAGGGAAACCCGCCTACGTTTGCACCCCTCCAACTTCATGGAAGAGTCTGGGGAGAGACTTTTAGAAGCCTGCTTTCCTGGGGCAGGAAGCTGACTCAAACTTTTCATGCTGCATTCCGTGTTAACATGGAAAGACCCAGCAAATGGTGGCCACTGCCTGTACACCCCTTTGAAAGAGGCGGCCACGGTATTCACCTAAATTCAGTGGGTCAGGGTTGACGGCTACACTTCCCACATTCTCTGCAGCACTGGCCCCTGAGGAGGGTCTGCACTTTTTCCAAAAGGATGTGGGGTGCAGAGAAGGGAGCAGCAGTAGCTGTCTCCCCTTGGAATGATGCCTGGAGTCCTGGTATGACGGAAATTTGCCCAGGCTGCCTTAGGAACTGATAAAAACCCTAGTGCAGGGAGGAGAGGAAGTCTCCTAGAGATGAGTGGGATGCACAGGAGAAACACCTGTAGGATTTTTAAATAAAATGTCTGTCGAGGCCCCAGTGCACATCAGCTGAATCAGAATCTCTAAGGGGAGGGCCTGGAAAATGGTATCTTAAATTCTCCACTGGTGATTTGTGATTTCAGACAGGGGTGAGAACCACTGCGTAAGCCTAACTAATTCTAAGATAAAAACCACCTCTCCATCTGCCAGAAGTGGCCACCCCTTAAAACCACAGCGAGGGCGATCACGGGGACGGTGAAACCATCCAGCACCGTTCAGCAAGCTCACACTGGGTGCAGAGCTGACCTGAAACCCTCGCCCGGAATGTTCCAGCTGGAGGGAGAGGTCACAGTCCACAAGCCGCAGTTGATTAGTGAGGAAAAAAACACACCCAGGAAAGTACTAAACAGAATCTCGACTAGCAGCTCAGAACTAACCCCGTCTGACGCCGAAAACAGCCCCACGGAGCCTGTATCAGAGCCCGCCCAGCAGGGTGCCAAGGGAACACCCTGGAGGCTCTCAGGCGCCTGGGCCGCCTGACGTCAGTGGGTGGGGCCTGCGCTGCAAGGCCCCGCCCCCGGACGCCAGCCAGGTGCGGGGGTCGCGCCGGCCGCCGGCACATCTGCCCGCGGGCTGCCAGCTAACGGGCGCCTCCGTCGCTTGGTGGGTCCAAGAGATCGCGGGGAAGTCGCGGGCGCGTCCCCGCTAACCTCGCTCGCGCACGCCGAGGCGGGCCACGTGACAGCCGGACGGCCTGCCCCGCAACCGGCAGCCCCGGCCCGCGGCCCCCGGCGCGGTACCCTCTGCATCCTTACTTGGTGTATTCGCGCAGGCCTTTGGCGAACCACACGGCGCTGCGGTAGAGGAGCATGGTTGGGCGGGCGCCGCACGCAGAGTCTCGCGGGCCTGCTCTCCCGGTGCCCCCGCCCCGCCCCGCCCCCTGGGCCAGCCAGCGGTTACATCATCCCAGTTACATAAAAACCGCGGCTTTTGGGGCTTTTCTCCACTGGGAATGCGACGGCGTCTCCGTACGACGTGGAACGCCCCTCCTGCCCCGGGTCTGGAGAGTGCCCCCTCCAGCCCCAGCCTCAGAGGGCTGGGGATGGGGGGAGGGAGGGAGGGCAGACCGTGCTGCGGGCCGCGCTGAAGGTCTGCATAGTCACCTCTGGGTCGAAGCCGGGCGTCAGCACGTTTTGGGGGTATGACTAGGATGCAAAGATGGCACCGAAGCGCACCTCCTAGAATCTGATGACCCAGAAAATTGTGTGGAATAAAAGCGATGAGGCTTACTGATACTAAAAAGATGTCTTCATCTGATGGGTTTATCATAGGGGTTACTGAAAAACCAGCATTTTCTAAGTTCCCACCTACCTTGTTTCACGAAATGCCCCCAGTATCTCGGCGGAGGGACATGGCCTCTTCAGCAGGTGCAATAAGTCAGGTCAGTAACATGCACACAGTGACACGGTTGTGGAGAGGCAGGGCTGGGTCTCTCTCCCTCCGGAGAGGTAAGTCTGTCTCCAAAGTACAGACCTGTGCCACTAGTTCTGCAGCGTCTCGCAGTGCCAGGGGCCCTTTATCTCCTCCAAATCTTCATCAGCGTCCCCGATCCCCCAAGGCCAAATAAACATACTGTGTTAGTTAAAAAAAAAAAAAAGCATAGTGGCTGTGTCAGCCTACATCCTAGACAAGTCATCCAGCCCCTTCTGGGCCCCATATGGAGGAATTGGGCACCCCTGTCCACATCTGATCTCCATCTCTAAGTCCCAGTTAGGAAACCTCTCTCCGTTAAATTCTGTACTGGTTTACCCAACTCACCCAGAGACTGAGACACCCTTACATAAGATGCGCAGAGACCAGCTGGTTTAATGGCCTCATTACCTAGGATAGACGATATAGGATCACTGCCCCCTCCCAAGTGGGCGTGTATTTAATGCAGAATACCTTTTGAAACAAATTTCCCCAGAACAGCTTGCTCCTCTGAACAGGACTGTGAGGTTCCACGGCATTGCTCTTATTTTTGACAGAGTGATGAAAGGAAGTTTAAACAAGTGGCATTCTGTAAAGCCACCCAGCCTGGTGTGACTTTCAATGCCAGTCAGGTTAGACCAGGAGAACATTTTGGACCCCCAGAGTTACACAACTGTGCTTTGTACACTCTGTGTCAGTGATGGAAAAGGTATCAGTCTGCTCTGAATCTCTCTCACCACCTCAGGAAATGTGCTTTTGGCTCACAGAGGGGGTAAGAAATTCTTTTGAACCACACAGTGTATTGAGGACATCAGCGGCGCCTTGCAGTAAAAGGGTGGGTGGAAACCCAGCTCTCTCAACCTGCCGTGTAAAGGCCGGGATGCTGCAGACCTACTCCATTCTTAGTTTTCTTGTTGGTAGAACGGGAATGAATACGCTCACTTCATGGGCTTGTTGTGATGATTAAAGCCATCTGTAAAGAGCTGAGCAAACTGCCTGGTTTCATTCGAGGTGATCAAAAAACGTTCACTTCCCTCAAGTTTTCTTCTCATTTTTTCCCTCCTATGCTACACCCATGCCGTGTACATTCCATCCACGTTCCATGAGTGCATGAAGCATGTAATGTTTATCCTCAAATCAACAAGTATCCACTAGGGACTGCATTGTACACACTTCATAGGAGGTTTTAAGAAAAGACAACCTCATCTCAAACGGGAACTCCAGTCTCCCCTGGATGACAAGCAACACACACACCAAAAAGAAACAAAGGACAGGACAGGATTAATGGGAAAAGGGTCCAGTTTAAGTGGGAGTTAGCTGAGCTGGATTTTAGTTCTGTTTTGTCACTGATTCTCAGTGTTACCCTGGGTAATAGTGATAAAATTTATTGAGGGTTTAATATGTCCAAATATTGTGGATTATCTCACTTAACCCTTACAATGACCTAGTAAGGTTGTTCTCACTATTATCTCCATTTTACAGATGAACAAACTGAGACTTAGAGGGTAAGCCACTTGGCTGAGGTCACAGTAAATACACACTGGAGCCAGGACTCGAGCCAGGCAGTGGGATTCCAGAGCCAACAGCCTCTCACTGGACCGTACTGTATGGGGGCAAGTCACCTAGCCTCTCTGGGCCTCAATTTTCTCATCTAAATGAAAAGGAAATTAGATAGATGACATCTGGGGCCCCTTCCAGCTCTGACTTTCTATGACTAATAAGAGAATTACACAAAGATGTTAAATAAGTTAGGCCCAAGGTGCTTTTAAAGGAGCGACATCCAGTGGGTGTAGCTGCTTCATTTCATGTGGGTAGAGAGCCTCGAAGATATTTCTTCTGTGTCCCTGGTCCCAATTTGCAACTCAAAAGCCACACAAAGAAATCATCCTCTAAAGCTTGCTTCTAACTGATTTAGAGCCCTGAAGCTAATTTTGACCAAACTGGAAGGAGAAGCAGGAGGTGAGGATTGAGAAATCCATGGCTTTCTGCACAACAGATACACATGATGGGAAGTCTGCGTGCACACACACACACGCACACACACACACACCAGTGTTTGCATCTCTTCCACTGAAATTCAGTACCAGTTCCTCCAGCCCAGTTGTCATGGCAACACCAGCTGCCAATGAGATCATGGAAGACAAGGTTATAACAGCAGTGGTGCCTTAATATTTCACCTGGCAAAACCACTTAGGTAATAAGCTGAATAACCATAAATCATAAATCCATGGGAAGCGCAGGCACCGCTCATTGTACGTGTTTAGTGTGCAGCTGGGGGTGGGGAGGAGACATGAAAGCAAAGGGAACAAAAAGGCAGGCGGGTGAGGTGGCGGGTCGGGAGGAAGGTCTCTGATGCTGATCCCTGTTTTCCCTCAGTGTCCTGACCCTGTCTGTACACGGATTAAGGAACACGTCTCTTCCATATTCACGAGAAGGGATGGGCGCTCCCAGCCTTAATCGCAAAAGGCTTATAAGGAACCGGAGGCTGCCTCTTGGGGTTCACACTAAGGGAGGAGAGAAGCAGCCCAGGGATGACACGGCAGACAATGACCCACCCACACGGGCACCCGGCGGGAGGCAGAACCCCACTCAGCACTGCCTCTCTGGTTGCCTCCCCAAGTCACTTGGCGTCACCAGTTTAACAGACTCGCTCTCCCCTGGGGCAACCGTCTGCTGCCCATCTGAACCAACTCCCCGAAGGGCAGATCCATGGATTTAAGGGTGTCTTTCCTTTCACAGGAAGCTAATCATGGGGCGGAGGCCTCTCGTAAGAGATCTGTCAGTGGGGAGAGAGACTCTGCTTACACCAAACACCCTTTGGTGCCTTTGAATTCTGTACTATGTTCACGAATTACCATTCAAATTAAAAAACACACGAAGGCGCACCTTCTTTCCCTAGTCCTGTCCACTTTCCAAGAACCAGGCACGGGGACGAGATGGGCCAAGGGCGGGGCAGTCGTGATGCCTGGGTCGATCAGTCACCCTGTTAACGGAACTGATGAAGGAAATGATTTCCCACAGACGGGGCTTGTGTGGGTCTGAAAGTCTCACGCAGTCTGTTTCTAGGGCTGTCCTTTCAGGGCAGACAGGTCCTCAGTGCAAAAGCAGTCGGAGAAGCCAGAGAATGCTCTGATGCTCTGAGGGGCTGCAGTGACTCAGCCTGACCAATGCTCCCTGTACCACCTGGTTCCCACTGCTGGCTCGGGACAAGGGCCACCAAGGGACACAGGGAGAGGGCAGCAGACACGCAGTGGCAAGAACTGGGATCAAGAGTCAGAAGACCCGTGTGCAGCTCTGATGCCTCTTCACAGGAGACACTGCACCTCTCCGAGCCTCAGTTTCCCCTCTACACGGCACTATAAACCACCCAGTCCTTGAGGCATAGGAGTGAGGGTGAAACACAGGACCTTTTCTCTTATTTAACAAATACTTATACTCTACTTGCCATGTGCCAAGCACTACTCTAAGCTCGTTTCAAATGAGTAGACTGAGGCACAGAGAATTTCAAGGTGTGTCCACGATCACACTAGAATCTAGAAAGTACCAGAGTCAGGATTCCAACCCGACAGTCGGGGTCCGGACCCCACACATATAACCCCTTTTCTATAAGGATGGGACGCTTCTCCTGGGGGTTTCTCTTCAGTTTCTTCCTTCAGTCATTTGTGTGGGGCTGGAAACTTCCTCTACCATCTACCATCTCCTTCCTCTTTTTGGTTGGTTGATTGGTTCCTGTGTTGACTGGGCGGCTGCAAGTTCACCGTTCCCTCCACCAGCATCTCTCCCCCACGCCTACCTCTCCCCCCGCCCCCCCACTAAGTCAGAGGCACTCAGAGACAGAAGGCGGGGCACTAAGACCTCAGCCAACTAAGAGTGAGACTGGGTTTTTGTTAGCCTGTGAGCATGTGTGCCCTTACATATGCATGGAATGTCTAAACGGCCCTGCCCTTGCCAGCTGTTTAATCCTGGGTGATTCCATCATTCTGGGGAGGCTTGGAAGGATTGAGGAATACGTGATTTTATTTACGTATTTTTAAATTGTGGTATAATATACGTAACATAAAATTTACCATCTTAACCCTTTTTTAAGTGCACAGTTCAGTGGCGTTAAGTACATTCACACTGTCATGCAGCCATCGCCACCATCCATCTCCAGAGCCTTTCATCTTACAAAACCTAAACTCTGTTCCCATTAAACATCAACTCCCTCTTCCCCCCTCCCCCCAGCCCCAGGCAACCACCATTCTGCTTTCTGTCTCTATGAATTTGACTGCTCGAGGGACCTCCCATAAATGAAAGCATATAGTATTTGTCTTTTCGTGACTGATTTATTTCACTTAGCATAATGTCTGCAAGGTTCATTCACGTCGTGGTGTGTGTCAGAACTTCCTTCCTTTTCAAGGCAGAATATTAGTCCGTAGTATGCATACACCACGTTTTGTTTGTCCATTCATCTCTTGATGGACACTTGG